CCTGAGTGTCATCTTTTGAATTCTGCATTTTGTTATGAATTTACAATTACTCAATAGGCAAAAGTGATTAAAAAAAACACTTTTTATACCATAACCATTTATTAACTTCCTTTCTAGGCAATGGTTTTTTCAAAAACTCAAACTGAAGAAGAAATAGAAGAAATCCATGCAAATTACCGTAAGTTAAAAGGCCGGAAAATGCAGTGTTGACCTTGAATGTTAAGAGCAGTGAATGTTTGAAATTGATTGTGTTCCGAATTATGATTCTTCAATGTGGCGATTTTAATATCGCTGTGAGAGTTAAATTGATTTCTAAACCTCAGTTTAAGCATGGGTTACTGATTGTTGTTCACATTTGGTACTGCTAATATACAGTACTTGCCCAGTTGCCCACAGCTTGATTTGTTAAGGAACTGACATGCAGAACTTCGGCACAGTGCCATCTCTTTTCCAGCACCATCTTAATTTAAAGCCACGACTAACCGCAAGTGTGTAAAATGTAAAATTCCATTGAATGTACCTCTTCCATGAACACAGTTTCTAAACAATTTGAATTATTTATACCTTTTCTTAACCCTTTCAGGCTCAAATTAAGTTTTAGTAACGACAGGACAACCAAGTCCTGCAGTGGTACTTCTGAGTAAAAAAAATGTATGTGGGGTAATAAGGTAGTTAGTTTTTAACTGTTGCAAATCAGCAACACCTGCCTTGAGAGGGTTAAAATCCTTCTCTGGGTTTCACCTCACCCTGTGTGATTGCCTGTAGCTCATCATCGCACTCATTACCAGTCACAACACTTTTCACACCTACAGGGTTTGAAGTCACTGAGACGTCCAAATATTTTGCCTGCTAGATATCTGATGGGCGTCTGCAATGCCTTCACGACTGTCCAGTTGCATCTTTGAACTAATAGTGATCAAGTGCCAATCAACACCTCTTATCTGGGATCTATCTAATCTTTTTGTTTGTCGAAAAGCAGACGGACGCCTATAGGACTCATGGTGTTCATGTGTTTCTATTAATGACAGCAGTCAATATAACAATTGAACTAAATATCAGAACATTTATTTTTATGACAATAATCCACAGTGTGCAGCTTTTGTCACTGCAGTGTATCTTTCTGGGCTTCTGGAATAACATTTCCAGAACCTCTTGATATGGGAAGTCAGAAACATCTGGCCCATTTATTGAGATCCGCATGCAGGCTGCAAGATGGTCTTGCAGTCTGTTGCGGATGTTTGTCTTGACCTGCAAATACATTAACTGTTAGACTTTAAAAGTGATAGCTGATAGCTTAAAATAGTGGTAGTTTAAAGCAGAAAATCCCAGAAACTCTGGCTGTTACTTGCAGGAGAGTGAGTATTGCCATCATCACCGCCCTGGGAGCATTTAAAAAAGCACAGATATTTTTGTCTGCTTTTCAGGTGGTTGACGCAACATATTTTCCGACGCGCACTCACTTGTGTGTGTGCACACACGTGTCTGTGTGTGCGCATCGGGGCATAACTCCACCATTTGTGATACAGAGAGCAGAGGAGAATTGTAAATCGCGACCGTGTAGAGAGAGACATGACAAGCTGTTGTGTAAATAAGATAAATAACATAAGGTAACATAAATAACATAAAGTTTGTTTAATAAAAGGACAATATATAGACCTGTTCTATAGGAAAGGTAACCTTAAATGAATTCTGTTGTGATCTGGAGCTATATAGAAAATAAAATTAACTTGACCTTCAAGGGGGGGGCGGGAGGTGCTGTTGGGGGGGCGGTGTTGGTAGAATTTGAGTTGACACAAATGTGGAATTAGTTTGCTTTATGCAGTGAGTAAAGGTTATTTTGCGATTGCTGTTTACCTGTGGTTGCTTTGCATATTCTAATTCTATGCCTGTGTATATGTTGCATCTTCCCAAACTGAAAACGTCGCAAAGGCAGAAAGATAACATTGGACTCTGCAGTAAAAATTGCATGCAGCTTTATGGCAGAATTTTCTTTCTGCTATAAATATGATTTGATTATATAGTATGTGGAAATAATTGCAAATAACTTTAAAAACCAATTTCTCCCTTATAAATTAAATGTTTAACATGAGCTTGTTTTTCACTGGCTCGATTTCAACTTGCGCCTTTTTCTTTTGGTCTGACAGGTAAACAGCACAGTGCTGAATTTTCCCGCCTGATTTCCCAGGTTAAAGGTCGCTGGAAATCATCCAAGACAGCAAAGGTAAAAGAGGAGACGCAGGACGGAGAGGAAGCGAGAGGAGAGCATTCCCCAGGTACGGACGCATTCACCTGTAAAGTCATTATTTAACTACTACTAGCATTTATCTCAGGCTCATTGGGTACCTGGTTTAACAGAGTCTTGGTACTCGTGATAATGTCTGTGTGTCATTCAACAGTAGGGTTGCAAAGAGAGAGAAAATTTCCAGCAAATTTCCATGGAAATTTTAACATGGGAATTTTAACATCAGCTGCCTCCTGCATGCAATAAAGAATTGAATCTTGAATTCCACAGACTGAACAGACTCTGACTTTCATCATCAAACCTCTCGCCATGTGTTTGTGGTCAGTAATGCTAGCAAGGCAATTGTATTCATGGTCAATAAAGTATAGAGTTAAATGTAAATGTCTTGAACATGTTTTTAATTACTCACTTCTTGTGTTTTTATTACTTAGTTCTTGTGTGTTTCACAACTGTAAATGCACTGAAAATTCACGGAATTTGCTTACCAATTCTATAGTTAAATTCTGTGAAAAGCTTGATAATATCAACATTATTTTTTCTAATTGAAATGATTGATGATATGTTTTTCTTTTCCACAGCTCTGAATACAGAGTGTCTGAATGACTTAGGGTCGTGCTCATTGGTGACAGCAGAAGCTGCTGTGATGTCAGAGGTCCCTCCCAGGTCCCCCAGTCCTGCCCTCAGCAGCATCTCCATCAGCAGGTAGCATTACTGAGAAAAATGGCTCTTTGTTGTGCCAGCAGCCCAAACCCTTCAAGCTGTGTGGTGAGCAGTGCAGCCATGGAAACGGGAATCTCTACAAGGATTAAAATTGCCTGCAAGGGTCTGAGTAGCTTGTCACGGGGACCTTCTCCCTTACTGGGAACATGTATTGGGCATTGAACCCATCAGTGTTACCTTAGTCTCCACAACAAACAAGGTTTGTTTTATTTCCAGCTCCATTTCAGATGTGTTCAGCCCAGAGCCAAAAAGAAAGCACGAGTAAGTTCTTCGAAGTTCTCCATCTTTCTTAAACATGAGCAGTGCTTGGTGCCCTTTTTCAGGGTCTGTTTTTCTGAAGCCTCAAACGTCTTTATAAAGCTCCAGATAGGATTGTTATTGTTTTAAAAATATTTTTTTTCTGTGATAATTTATTTTGGCCGATCCTGATTACCGATTTTTTTTTTGGCACGTGCGATCAGCCAATACCGATTTTTGCTCTGAGAACAGCAAGTACAAAAATCACATTTTCTTCACCTCAAAATTTTATTTTCATGACAAACTCTTATTAAACTTTACAAATTCAAATAAATTAAACTAAAACGCATAAATAAAACCCCAACTACAACTAAACATTAAGATATTCTTTAAAATAATAATAGGTGCAGTAAGTAAACGTGTGTGACATGACACTAAACAACTCCGGTAGCTTGCCGTCCAAAAAGTAACGCCTTAGATTTCTGAAGCCTCTATCCTCAACTACAGAAAACCGCTGGTCATCCAGTGCCATGAATTCCATAATTTTCCTCCTAATTTCTTTGCTCTTTTCACTACTTATACCAACGGAAGAGAGCACAGACTGCTGGCTCATAGATGGCTTCGAGCATGCTTTGCTAGCAGCTTTCGCTTTGCTAGCTTGTTCAAACTGAGCGTTTTCACTGGGGTGATATGTCTTTAAGTGTCTAATTAAATTTGTTGTGTTAAATGTCTTTGTATTGGTTCCCCCACGGTGTACCTGGTCCTTACACTTGCTGCAGATAGCGAATTTTGTGTCCGCTTGCCTCACGCAGAAGAATTTCCAATTTATGGACATTGTTGCTTGTCTTAAAGTGCGTGCGACTGCACATATGATTTTTTTTGTGCATGCGCAAGATCGGTTCGTAATCGGAAATATGGCTACGTTCACACTGCCATGCTGAAGTGACT